CGTAAACTTGATCCCTTTCCGGGTCAAACGGGTCATAGGAGCTGCCAAACGAGAGAAATCCTTCACAAATCTCCGATAGTAACCCGCTAGGCCAAGGAAACTCTGGATCTCAAAAACATTCTTGTGTTGCTCCCAATTCAAAACTACTTCAAGTTTGATGGATCCACTGACACTCCACCTTCTGAAACAACATGCCCCAAAAACTTCACCTCTTATAGCCAAAACTCACACTTCTCATATTTGGCATACAATCGGTGCTCCCGTAAAATCTGCAATACAATACTCAAATGGATCTCGTGCTCCTCCCGAGATCGTAAATACACAAGAATGTCATCCATAAAACTACCACAAACTGGTCTAAGTAATCGTGAAAGATATGGTTCATCAAGTCTATAAATGTCGCTGGCGTATTAGTCAAGCCAAAAAGCATAACAAGGAACTCATAGTATCCATACCATGTACGGAACGCTGTCTTTGGGATATCCTCATCCCTAACCCGTAACTGATAGTAGCTTGACCTTAAGTCAATCTTCGAAAAACAACTGGCTCCTCTTAACTGATCAAACAAATAATCTATCCTTGGCAAAGGATACTTATTCTTGATGATAGCATGATTCAACTTCCGGTAATCAATGCACAACCTCAGAGAACCATTTTTTTTCTTAGCAAACAAGACCGGTGCGCCCTACGGTGACACACTCAGTAGGATGAAACCTTTCATCCTTAAATCATCAAGCTACCTCTTTAATTCTTCCAATTCAACTGGTGTTATACGATACGATGCCCTAAAAATCGGTGCGGTACTTGGCATTAAACCAATAGTGAACTCCACTTCTCGGTGTGGAGGCAACTCTGTCAAATCCTCCATAAACACATCCAGAAAATCACGAACAACTGTAGGATAATCTTCTTCCACAGCATCATCTTCTTCGGCTAGAAGACTAGCCAAGAAGTAATCATCACGACTCCGTCCACGAATTCTATAAAACGATGAAGTGTGGGAATCACTCCGATCTCCCACGAAAAAGAAACAGTCTCCCTCGGGGGTGCAAACTGTGACTCTACCTCTAAAACAGTTGATCGTGGCATGAAAGGAACCTAACCAATCCATCCCAAGAATGACTTCAAAGCTAGTTATCTCCAAGAGGATAAGATCAAACACAAAGGTCCGCCCGGCTATCACAATGGAACAATCCCGCACAACTCGACTTTAAAACACTAAAACCCAAACTGGCGTATCAACACACAATGCCTGATCCATGAAACTGACCTCTAACACCGATGCAAGTGCAAATGATGATGATATGAAGGAATGAGATGCACCAGAGTCAAACAAAACACGGGCCCAAGAACCAAACACTGGAAATATACCTTGGAGAACTGGTGGAAAAGAAGATGTATTGGCTTGTGCAAGTGCAAAAACATGTCCCTGTGGTGCCTGTGCCTGAGAACTGCCAACCTGAACACCTGACTACTGCACTGACATAGTAGGAGTATCCCTCCTAACTGGCCGTGAACCCTGAGAGGATATGGCAGGCTGTGATGATGGTAGTCTGAAACCTGACTGAACCGTAGCCGACTATGACAGCCTCTGCTGTGACCCTCTACCACTACTGGTGCCTGCTCCCTGATTAGGACAATTCTTAACCTTATGGCCCTATTGGCCACAACCAAAACAAACCCCAGAATTAACCGATGTCTGTGGACACTCTAACTTGTAGTGACCCGAATGATTACAACGATAACAAATGACACCACTCCTGGTAGACCCTGCTGGCATAGGAGTGGTAGGAGCAGATCGTGCTGATTGCTGCCCCTAAAACTGAGATAAACCACCCCTGTTCCTTTTCCCTGAAGGTCCCTCTGAAGATGGTCCTGCATTCCTCTTTTGTTTCTACTATTTCCTTCTTGCATCTTTATCTTTAGCCTCCGCCTCTAGCATTAATGCCCTTTCCACTGCCTCAGAATAAACCTTGGTGCCCTTTGCTATTAACAACGACTTTATCTTGTAGTCAAGTCTGGAGATAAACTTCCAAACCTTATCAACTTCATTACTCACCATCTCTGTAGCAAAGCGAGAGAGTGAGGTGAACTTGTTCTCGTACTCCGTCACCGATATATTGCCTTGGATAAGGCCAATAAACTGATCCTTTAACTCCCACCTCTTGGAAGCAGTGAAATACTTCTCATAGAATAGCTCCTTGAACTTATTCCAACTCATCTCTTCAATTTTATACTGATTTGTGACCGACTTCCACCAAAACTTGGCATCCTTTGAAAACTTGTAAATGGCTAGGATGATTTTCAAGTGATCATCCGTCACATCCATAGAAGTCAATTGAGTTTCAACTTGATCCATATAGTCATCCGCTTCCATTAGATCCGCACTACCTTCGAACATTACCGGCATCAACTGAGAAAACCCCTTAATAATCTTGAGACGTTTCTGTGCTGGCGTCTCTTCAACTTGAGCTACAGGTTGTGGTACTGGTTGAGGTACCGGCTGCGGATGTGTAACAATTGTAGCCCTTAAGGCTCTCTGTAATAAACGGTTCAATGTAAGTTTCGCCGAACCTTCACCCTCGTCAACGGGTGCTTCAACATTATCTCTCCTTGTAGGAACAACTCTTGGGGCAATCAAATCGCTAAGAAGTGTGTCTTCATCAACTGGCTCTACCGGATTGGAGCTAGAGCTCTCGCCAACATCACCCCTTGTTGGTCTAGGGCCATCTTCCCTTAGTTCTTCATGCCGTGACATCGTTCTATAAAACAAGGAAAACAGTTCAACAACGATAACATTAAGGTCCAACCGTGAACAACTCAATATAAAAGGATGCTATACTAACACTTAGCATGCAATACTATGCAATGAACACATTAATATAAGCATATAAGCACATAAATACGTAAACAAGTAAACAGGTAAGCATGTTTTTTCACATAGCAAAACATTTTTGCAAATAAGGAAATAACAATGCCAATAACTTCCCAAACAACCCTAGGTAGGCCTCTACCCGTCGTCCTAATGGTTTTCAAACCTTCGCTCTGATACCAAATTTGTAATGACCCTAAACTGAATACCAAAAATAATAAAAAAATTTAAAAACAATTTCGGCATGACCTCCGCTAAAAATGGTCCTTCAACAATCTGTTCAAATGAAAAAAAACAACGGCCTTTCAAGACCTATCCAACCTGCCCCAACACACAATACAAAAGAAATATAATACATTCCCCAATACCATAACATCAACAACCTTCCCAAATTAGCCCATCATCGTCATCCCCTTCAACCTAAGCATTTACATGGTCTCAATTTACAACAAAAATAATCAAGTATCTTAGTTATGTTACAGGGCCATGATTTGCAAAAATAAATACTCTTTTACATAGTTTGAGACAATACAAAAAAAATGGGCTAAGATACAAAAGATAACAAAATACAACTCCTAATCTTCTTTAAACTTACGGGGGATTTTCATCCGCTACTTTTTTTTCGAGCCCTGAAAAATGTTAAATAAAGGGGTGAGCAAAATTGCTTAGTAGGTAGTGCCTAAGGCACATCTTTTGAGACCCCGTGAATCCACACAATGAATAGGAATAAGGAAATTAGGATCATACCATGCCGGGAGTAAAAGTATAACTACGATATCACATCATTAATCCAATACCACAAATAAATATGCCATGCACTGAGATGCCGTGCCATACAATGTCACTCCCCATTTTCCCAAAACCATTTCCATTAACATTTCCAAACCGTTAGTGAACCCGTCCCATGGCAACTCCATGGCGGCACGAGAGGAGGATTGGCCACTGTCCCTGACCCATGGCAACTCCATGGCGTTATTTGGGGCCCAAGTAACTCAACCACACTAGGGCGGTCTCCCTAGTCTCCTCTTGGCCTCACTAACGCCGCGGTCCCTAGGCAATTCCTAGGCGGCTGGATTTTTCATATAAATCATTTTCAAAATTCTTTACCAAAATCCATTTCATTTCTTTCAAATCACATTTTCCCATTCTTTCCCAATGAATGCATATATGTCTTATGCATTTCAATGATGTACCGATAAATAAACTTTTTCTTTCTTACAAGTCAAATATTTACAATATACATGCCTCATAGAAATATTATAGGAATTTACATCATGTTTCAAAATCATAAAATTCAGCATATAGGCATGAAATTTAACATCAATTTAATATGGTTCTTTATCACATAACAACTAACATGTATATATACATATCTCATATACAACACATAATAAATATGAAAAATAATACAAATTAAACACAAATTATGAAAAATAATTCACCAAAATTTAAGAGATTGTGGATTAAACACCCCTACCTCAATTTAAGCCAAAACTCTCAATTTCCACATCAAACCCTCAAAATGGGTCTCAATTTTCGAACTCCCTAAAATGAAAAATAAAAGAAAAAAAACAGAAAAGGGCGTGAGAGAGAACCAGTGGGAGAAGAGAGGATAGAGACCAAATGTGGTCTTAAGGCCTTAAGGTGATGGTGGTGGGTCCCATCAATTCTTTTATAATTTTCCTTTTTCTTTTGGTACATTTTACACCACTCACCCACATAATTACATATATATAAATAAATAAAACATAAACATTACAATAGGCCGCCAAGAAGCCCATCAAAAGAACATAAATTAAAATCGAGTCAAAGCCCACAAATAGGCCCACCGTATGAAAAGCATCCAACTAAACTACCTGGAAGATCACTGGAAAAATTAGGGTGGTAAATGAATGAGATTTTTCTCCGATGGGTCAAAGAAATTATGGTTGGGAGTTTCGAGTTGGTTGCTAGTGTCTATAAATTCACATGTCCATATATATACATATCTATCCATCCTAATGTCCACTAGTTTCTTTCTAATATAATTAGTAAATGAATACTTTTCAGTCACTTTCATTTTGAGATTCAATTCTCTTGTATATATACACACACACACATCAATATGGGTATAAAGAAATAACTCCTACTCCTCCTCCTCCTCGTCCTCGTCCGTGGGACAAAAGATGGCTCTGCAAACACGCAGTTGATATATAGTTTTAAGCACAATACTTAAGAAAATATATATCACTGTCGATTGCAGCATTTGGCCATGATAGAAAGCAAAATGTTGATTTCAAAACATACAATTTTCCTTGCATTTTTCTTTCTTTTCTCTCTGTCCCAAACACCAGCTTTGGCCGCCAAAAAGGTACAAAATTTTCCCTCCATATCTGATTGACATTTCCCTTTCAGAAAGTTGCGATTTACTCCTATGGATATCTCCCTCCAGTCATAGATGTGTTTTGATTTTTATTTAACTATTTGTTTTCTGTGGTGTCTTTAATAGCCATATATTGTGTACATGGGAGGTCATTCACATGGAAGTAAAATGACAAACGCAGCTCTCAAGGAGGTCTCAGGATCTCATTACGAGTTCCTTGGATCATTCCTGGGAAGGTATGAAATTTGACAAGTAATTTTATTCATAATTTTTTTACTTTTCCATTATTATCATCATTCTCTTACTACTATTTAAATCTATATATGGAGTTGGCTAGATAATTATCTTTTCATAGAAAAGAACGAAAAAAGAAAATAACTCATGGTGTCTCAGATTTGAGAATTCCCAAATTTCTCCACTTTTATATATGTTGTGTCAAATGAACTAAGAAACAGATTTGAGTGAGATGACAATTACTTATGTAATTAATGTTAGGTATTAAATCTATATTCATTCTTTCTGTTTCAAAAATCCTGGATGGCAAACATTAGTGTTGTAGCACATTGTTGAACTCTCTTTTGCTCATAGTATTGTTTCATGCAGTACAAAGGAGGCCAAAGACGCCATATTTTACTCGTACAAAAGATACATCAACGGCTTCGCTGCAATTCTTGATGAGGATCAAGCAGCAAAGATTTCAAGTACAACTTCTTGTGTACATAAATACTTCTCCTTAATCCTTTGTCTCCTTTATGTTCAATCATTATTTTTTGGTGTACTAAAATGAAAAATGTTTCACAAATTACATCGACCCAGAGGATCCAAATGTTGTGTCCGTTTTCTTAAATGGTTGGAAAAAATTGCACACAACCCATTCGTGGAATTTTCTTTCGCTAGAAGATAACAATGGTGGTGTTGACTCGAATTCCTTGTGGAAGAAGGCTAGGTATGGAGAAGATATCATCATAGGAAATATTGATAATGGTAAGAGACAATTTTGACAATCTTCATCTACAGCTTGCTTTCAAATTAGCTCTCTCTTATCCTAGTAATTCCAGAATTTCAAATTTGAAATTCATAATTTCTGATGCCTTTGCTTTTGCTAGGTGTTTGGCCTGAATCAGAGAGCTTTAGCGATATAGGATATGGACCTGTTCCATCAAGGTGGAATGGAATATGTCAGAATAATACCAAGAATGGATTCCCTTGCAATAAGTATGTTCTCTGTTTCATTTAAATCACTATGTGGCCAGATTAATAAATATATCTTGAGTAATACGAAGTTCGACGCACACAAATAACTCAAAGCAAACACCCATTATGCCCAAAACAGTGCTTGAACTGTCAACTTTACCAGTTTATGCCAAGAATGATCAGTTGCCATTAATGGCAGTTTTGTTTAGTTACCAATAATGGCAGTTTTGCTTCAAAAATATAAGTTTGTGAATAAATATTTATTTATTTATTATTATTATTTTTCATTTCGTATGGAGTAATATTTAGCAATTAGGTTTCATATTATATTTTTTAGTAATTTTTAGAGAGAGTTTATTTTTGGGTAGTTTTCCTATGTTTTTAGTTTGGATATATTATTAGGTTTACTTATGCTATTAGTTTTCTTGTAATGTTAGGTTTTCTTTATTATAAACCATAGCAGAATTTGGAATTAATTCTATTATATAGCCTATAATATTTCTCTATAATTTTATCTTAATTTTGTGGATTCAAAGTGGTTCTTGTTTATTCGTTCATAACTTCCACTTTGATAGTTTGTATCAGAGCCTTATTTGACCCTGATTTAGCGACAATTGGTCAATTTGATTGCACACTTTGGCTAAGATAATTGGAGTGTGCCGCCCCTTGGGCAGCTATGCATATTAAGGTCCGATGATTTGATCAAGTTGGAATTGGTGGCAACCAAGTTCATAGTTCAATTCGGGATCATGCTGATGTGTCTCGCAACTAATGGAACATGGCCTTTGTTTCTAACCATTGGTGTAGGACTCTATCCTATGCGGATTCTTTCAATGATGATAATTAAAGATTTAAAGAGTTGAAATGGATTGATGTGAAACCGCATTTATTTGGACTATCGTGAGTTTTAGAGAAAACTTGATTTACTTGCTACTGTGTTGAGGATGTCTTGCTCGAGTATTTTGACATACACGAACACAAGTAAGTCTTGCTTGTAGCATTCATCCATAAGAGAGACACTTCAGCTTGGAGAAGATAAAGACTAACTAGAGGCCGGAGGCAAGGAAAGCCTGTCGTGGCCCAGGATGAAAAGTAGATTGATGGTATTCCACCACCAGATAATATGCAGATGTTGTACCATCAATGTATCAAGATTGCAGGAAAGAGGGTTTGTTTGTCAACAATTACACAAAAGAGTCTAATAATAATGTTGTTCACGCAATGAGTGATTTTATTGAGATTGATCATGAGCAAAATTCTGTTATTTCACCTCTTGTATTAAAGATGATGAAGTTGCCTATACTTTAGCCGCAACAGATACACCTACTTAAAAAGGTTTCCAACAACACAATTTTTTTATTAGACTCTTTAGTACTCCCTCCGTCCCAAAAATAAGTAGGGATGATTGGTTAAGTTTCATTTCATATTTAGTAGTAATTTTTAGCAATTAGGTTTCATATTATATATATTTTTACTAATCCGTAATTTTTAGATAGTTTCATTATAATTCAGTTTTCTTATATTGTTAGGTTTTCTTATTCTATTAAGTTTCTTAGATTGTTGATTTTCTTTATTATAATAAGAGCATAATTTAGAAATAATTCAACTATCAATAATATATCAAATTTGTCCGAACGTATATAACTTTTCCTCCTTCAAAATCCAAGATCTATTCTCCACTATCCTAACATAAGGACTAAATTTTTTAACGGTTGAGAAAGGACTTTTAATATGAAGAAACACATACTTCTTCTGGTAGGAACAGTATATGGCAGGTTATTTATTTTGATAAAAAAAAATTACTTTTGAACAACTTATTTCTATCGTCTAATAACAATTAAAATTTTCAGGAAACTTATTGGAGTTAGGTACTTCTACAAAGGACGTGCTGCCAAATGTGGCCTCAAAGACCATTCAAATTTCTCTGCCCGAGACACTCATGGTCATGGAAGTCACACACTATCAACGGCAGGTGGGAACTTTGTGCCAAGAGCAAGTGTGTTTGGAATTGGCAATGGAACTGCAAAAGGTGGTGCACCTAGAGCTAGAGTGGCTGCTTATAAGGTATGCTGGCCAACAAAATATACTAGGGGTGGAGGATGCTTCGATGCTGACATCCTCAAAGCCTTCGATCAAGCCATACATGATGGCGTCGATGTGCTTTCAGTATCTCTTGGTGGTGATCCCACTGACTACTTCGAAGATTCCATTGCAATCGGGTCGTTCCATGCTGCTAAGCATGGCATTGTCGTGGTGACCTCAGCCGGGAATGACGGACTGTGGCCTCATAGCGTCACCAATGCTTCTCCATGGCTTCTAACCGTTGCAGCGAGCACCATGGACCGTGAACTTGGTTCTTACGTTCACCTTAGTAATGGAATGCGCCTCAAGGTTCAATTCAAATTCTTTCATTGACTTTTGCCTGATTGTATTTCTTATATATGTTTGAGATTCTAATAATTATTTAGTATATGATACTAGGGAAGAGATATTAGCTCCAAACAATTTCCAGAAGATAGATTCTACCCACTTATTACCGGTGAACAAGCTAAAGTTGCCAATGTATCTGCTGAAGAAGCGTAAGAACAATTAATCTTATTCAAATCGATATTCTCCACTCTTGAGTGCTACTAATGAAGTGATGTTATGATTTTTTAAAGTGTTGCTGCGTGCAATGTGCTATGCCTAATTTGCTTGTGTTTTATGTAGTATATCCTGCTGGAATGGAACTCTCGACCCCCAGAAGGTAAAGGGTAAGATCTTGGTTTGTCTTTCTCCAGCGGGTGCTGATAAAATTGAAAAAGGACATTTGGGTGCTTTGGCTGGTGCCGTGGGGATGATTTTTTGGGACAATATGACTGCTGGTAGTGGTGAATTTTACGGCGGCGTTAATGTTTTGCCAGCATCACATATCAATCACACAGATAGTCTCACTGTTTTTGCCTACATCAACTCTACCAAGTATCTTTCTCTTCCGTCATCTTTCATATTGTGTATACATCTATTATATCTTTTTTCTTATACTCATTACCAAAATTTCATCAGTAATCCACAGGCTATGATTAAGCCAATGGAAGAACTGCACACAAAGCCTGCTCCGTTCATGGCTTATTTCTCCTCTAGGGGTCCGAACGCTGTTACACCAGAAATCCTCAAGGTTTGGCCAAGGAACATATTACCATTTTACTAGTCTGTCTTTTTTGTTTTACCATTTTTGATCCGATTTATATATATACTCAGCCTGATATTACTGCACCGGGAGTACATGTCATAGCTGCCTACACGCAAGGAGGCGGCCCTACAGAAAATAATTTCGATCAGCGCAGGACACCCTTTACTCTTATGAGTGGAACATCCATGTCTTGTCCTCACGTAGCCGGAATTGTGGGTCTTCTCAAGGCAATTCACCCAGATTGGAGTCCTGCAGCCATTAGATCTGCAATCATGACAACTGGTAATACTTCAGTGTTACTAATAAAATTGTTCTACTAATATCAGTTAGTGTATACTTGGAGCGCATTTGTCTTAAAACTTGTTCTGTTTGTGATAATTCTGTGTTCAGCAAGAACAAGAGATAACACCGGCCATCCAATGCTAATTCGATCAAAGAATGGATCATTTTCTAAGGCAACACCGTTCAGTTACGGTGCTGGGCATATACGGCCAAATCTTGCAGCTGATCCTGGCTTGGTCTATGACTTAACAGTGAAGGATTACAAAGACTTCCTCTGTGCACTTGGCTATAATAAAACTGTTATGGAGCTCTTTTCTAAGAGTCACGTATGTCCCAATTCGACCAATCCTCTCAGTATCTTGAACTTTAATTACCCTTCAATAACTGTCCCTAAGCTCTCCAGCTCAATCACAGTGAGCCGAACAGTGAAGAATGTTGGTTCAACCAGCAGTTACACAGCTCGTGTTCGTCCACCACCGGGATTTTCAGTTACTGTTCAACCCAAACTTCTGAAATTTAAGAAGACTGGTGAAAAGAAAACCTTTTACGTGACTCTGAAAAATAAAAGAATTGGTGTTTCAAAAGGCTATGCATTTGGAGAATTATTATGGTCAGATGGTGTACATAATGTCAGGAGTCCAATCTCAGTTGCTACCGATGCCAGACCTCTACTAGAGAAAAGCCCAAAAGAGGAGGAAAACATGTGTCCAAATAACGGTGACGCTCCCACCACACCACCTCCAAAGAAAAACACATTCAATAGCATTTGAAGGAACGATCACTATTTATACTCTTGTTGTGAGGTTTCAACTTAGTTGTCATGTTTTGTACAGGGATAATATTTATTGGATTGGGACATAGGATAGAAATATATTTGTGGATGGGTTTCAAAAACTGTTATAATATGTATATTTAACTTGATTAAAATTACTTGTTTGTCTAACTTTCACATCAAGAGATGTAAATTTGGCCATGTGGAAGTAATTGCCTACCAGCATCACATAATTGAGTCTCAATCTGAGTGAGAAGAAATTCAATTCTCAAACCAGTTTGAGAGAAGAAAATTTTGGAAAACAACTAGCAATTGATCTGTTTCCATATTATCAACTCCAATAACATAACAGTGTTTTTATGGGAAAATCAAGCCAGAGAAACCCATGCTTTTGGCTCCTATTTTGTGGAACAGAATGACAAAAAAAAAAAAAAAAGAAAAAAAAGAATTATTACGAAAATAATAAATAAATTAAAGAAGTGTTGTAGCCACCTATAGACTTAAATTGCTGGGATGTCAAAGCAGAATTCCCGGAAGGTGACGTATATACAAAAATAGAGTTAATGTGCGAAAAGGGCATCTTAGAAAGGCTAAATCAAATGCAATATCCCTGTTCTCCCCTTCTCGTTCTGTACTCACGAGGAGATCCTACCTGCATCTCGTTCTGTACTGAAGAACTTGAGCTCAAGAAAAATACTACAAATTTCAATCACCTAGTACTGTCACTGGGGTCGTTTCATTTGGAAATTATACCATCCAATAATTTCTCGTTCTATGGGGGGTATACCCTCATTTCCCATTGTACTAAGTTTTCCTATTTAATGAAATGACACCAATCAGCTTATGAAAAAAATAATAATAATACCAGGGTTCTGTATAAGTTTGAAATTTTGTCATCTCGAGATTCAATGAACTCATATTTTCTTTGAGGTTTTGATTAGGCTCAAAATTTGTGATTTCGAGGTTTGATGATCTAGAATAGTGCCAGTGTTTGTTTTTGAGCTCGAGTATCTTCTAAAAAATTGATGACTTGCTATTGTGTCAGGTTTTTTTGATTAGTCTAGAAAATTGTGTTTCCGAGTCTTAATGACCTAGTATAGTCCTAGGGTTGGGTTTTTAGCCCTAGAATTGTATTTTTTCAATATTTGATGACCTAATATTGTGTCAGGGTTTTGGTTATGCTCGAGAAAGCTGGTATTTTGAGGCTTGAAGACTTGGCTTGATATTTGATGACTTGTATTGTTAGAGTTTCCTTTTTACATTTCATCGTGCCAAGTAGTTGCTTCGTGGGTTGTCGCGATGTTTAACGTGCTGTATGGGTAAATACTAATTGGCACCTACATTTGGTCTCGTTGCGCGTGTGGCATTTCATCTAGAGGGGTGTAACCGAATATCTTGCTTGTTTTTGGGTTTTTGGATTTTGGGGGGCAGAGCAACGTGACGAGTCATTAGTGCCGCCCTTTTTTGGTAGATTGAAATGCATGGTTTCAATGCTAATGATATTGTGTCGTTTCGCATACTAACGCCGTTTTTTGGTATGGTACGTCATTTTGTGTTCCGACACCGGCTTTTTTTTTTTTATAGTTAAATTAGTAAGCTTGTATAAATAGAAGAAAAATGGGTACATTGTGCATAAGTGAACATAGAATGCCATAGGGACAATATCCAAAAGCACCAACAAAATAACACTAGGTCATAAAGACCATTACAAACAACAACTAACACAAACGCAATGTTTCTGTTTTTCACCATTTTCTATTTTTTGAAATTTTTCAATTTTTTGAAGGTATTTTCATCTTTTCTCGTTTGGCGTACCAGACATCGTGGGGTATGCCGGGTGTGTCGTAGAGTTGGTCGAGGCATTCCATTGAGTTCAGGACTCTTGGAAATGCATCGGTTGTCATTTCTGTATTTTTTCGTTTTTCTGGTCGGATGGTCCCGGGTAGGACTCGCTACCGGAATTGTTGAGTATAGGACTTTGGTTGGGCCCATTGGCATCTCATTTATTTTTATTTATTGTGTTTTACGTGGGTGTGGTATAGTGTGTGTGTGTATATATATATGTATGTGGTGGTAAATGAATAAAAAGGAAAAGAAAATTCAAAAAGATATTTTTGGTGGGACCCACCACTAATATTATTAGTGCCGTAAGGCCATTTTGGCCTCAAAATTCTCTCTCTCCCTCTTTTGGTTCATTTTTCTTTTTCTTTGCAAACAAATTTCAATCTTTTATTTCTTTTTCATTGCTTGAAATTTTTGGGTGGCGTTTGCGACAAATTGAAGAGCACGACGAGATCTACGCGTGGGTGTAAACAATTCCTTGTTTAGCCAACTCTAGGGATTATGAAATTTTGGACCCATTTGGGGATTTTTGCATTTTTGTGAGGTAGGGGTGTTTAATTCACAATTTCTTAGATTTTGTGAGTTATTTTTGTATAATTGTTGCCTAGTATGCTTTAATTGTGTTGATTTCCCTTAAAGTGGCTAAATTGTTATATGTGAAGTATATGATTATGTGTATTGGTTATATTGTATTAGAAAACATGATAAAATGTTTATATTTTATGCTAATTGCGTTATATGAGTTGAAATTTGTGACTTAGAAGCATGATGTGGAATTTGAGATATTTCCTCTAAAGTGTGCATATTGTGAATGTTTGAAATTGCAAGAAAGAAACTCTTCATTGGCATGACATTGTAAAGTATGAAGCATTTATGCACTTCATTGGAAAAGAAATGGGTATTATGGTTTGAAAAAAATGGGAAATTGGTTTTGAAAAAAAAATAATAAAAAGGGAAATTCATTTTTGGAAGGAAATGAAAAGTTATTTTGAAAATAGGGAGCGGCATTGCATAACATTGCATTCCATTGGTATGACTTGGCTTTGCTTGTGGTATGGTTGTTGTTGTTGTTGTTGTTGATGTTGTTGTTGTTGTTGCAAATTGTATTATTCTCTTGATTAATGTGTGCTACACTTGTCAACTCATTTGATGGATTATGCTTAGACTTGTTGGGTTGTTCTACACCTTAGAGTAATTGTAGTTAGGTAGACAATTAATGCTTGAATTTGATAGTCTATGCTTATTATAGCATTTTGTATTAACCACATTCTGATTACAATATTGTTTTTCCCCCTTAGTTGAAAGCATGTTGTTTAGTGAATAATCTTAGAGGTGATTCCTATGCCCTAAGACCTCTCATCCATTTCTTGAACCCTACTTTACTTGCTTTAATTTGAATTGCATGTTATTAAGTTCTTTTTAGTTTAATCACCAGTCAAACTCTTTCTCAATCTCATGTCCATTAATTTCAAATTAAATTCCATCCCATAATCCCTAAGGATGATCCCTTCTCACTATATTTCATAGTATACATGTTTAATGGCTTTTATGAATTATAAAAGTTAATGCCCACTTTGCACATTTCTTTAATGCTCTAAAAATTAAAATATTTTTGTGCACACACCAAACCAAGCATCACTCAAGCACAAATGTAATGACCCGAACTCGGGTGTCCGAATCGCTAACCGGGTTTTTAATCGAACCTGAGGACACTCTAGGGCAAAATGGTCATTTTACAATATGAGAGGATAATTTGTCCTTAAACTAATCAAATTAAGTTTAAAACAAACATTCTAATCATTCCATGACATTTCAAAGAGGCTTTATGGTCATTGGTCATGATTTCCCAAAAGTGCCCTTACCTAGTTTAAGGGAAATTCCGATACTGTCCCACTAAAACAACCATAGCTCTCAACCTGAATAGAATTTGAAGATGAGGTTAGTCTCATTGGAAAGCTAACTCAAAACACTTGAAATTGGACTTAAGAATGACCTTATTTAGATTTAGAACGAAGAAGTTATGACAACACGAATTTAGGTGACCCAAGCTGACAAACTGTGAAAACCAAAAAGTGCATTGGAGGACTTGAACTGGTTGTAGATTTCTTGAACCAGTTCCACATGGGTAGAATGCCCAAATGTGAACCTATTACACCCTTGAACCAGTTCCATGAAAGTCAAACATGTTCCAGAAGACAATAACCTTGAAAAATGTCCAAAAAAGTCCTAAAACTAAGTACATGTGTACATGGGCCCTTAGTCCCTTGGTGACCTTATTCCAAGCTCAAACCTATCCCAAATCATGCATTTGACCGTGAAAACAACACAACTAAGTATCTTTATAGTCAAATAAAATTGTAAATGAGTCCATTACATCATTTGAAGTTAAACAAGTTTGTAATACATCAAAATATGGCCTTAAGGCCTTGCATGGATATCAAAATCATAATGAAACCACAAGATACATGAGGATGGTCTCATAACCATTTCCAACGATGAACTAGATACACAATGTCACTAAATATAAGTTACAACAAACGGTATTATACACATTGATCTCAAACAAATAATCAAGTCCCTTGCAACCCAACTAAGCTAGTGGTGGGTTGTCGCCCACTGTTTCTTTTCTGTGTCCTGAAAATATTAAAGATAAGGGGTAAGCATAAAGCTTAGTAGGAGGTGCCTAAAGTGCACTCCTTAATGATCCTGCGAACCCACACAAAGCATAGGAAATAAAGAAGGGGATCATGCTCACTAGGGGAAATATCAAATTATCAGAACAATTCCAACAAAATCCTCAAATGCAATGCCATGCAATGCAATGCCAATGAAATGGAATGTTGCTCCCCATTTCCAAAATCATTTCCAATAACAACCATTTCCAAACCATTAATACAACCTGGCCCATGATAACTCCATGGCGTCACGAGAGAAGGATTGACTAACTATCCCTGACCCATAGCAACTCCATGGCATCATCTAGGGCTTAGGTAGCTCACCATGCTAGGGCAGTCTCCCTAGTTTCCTTTAGGTCTCATTAACACCACGGACCCTAGGCAACTCCTAGGTGACCGGTTTTCATAAATAACTTTCCAAATTATTTCCTTTCAAAACCATTTTTCCCAAAACTTTTTCTTTTCAAAACCTTTGACCCTTTTTCCTTCCCAATGCCATGCATGAATTGTAATGACCCGAAAAGATACCAAAATAATAATAAAATCTATAAAAATTTCGGCATAACCTCCGCAGAAAATGTGTAATACCCCTAATTTTAAAAAGGATATTCCTGGTATTTAATGGTATTTAATTTATTATTTAAGTGCATTTTA